AAAAAACCTTATTGTTAGATCTAAGTTAGACATACATCCTCAGTATATCTAGGTTATTTACTGAGACTCATGTATCATTTATAGCATATCAGATGTATATATGTTATATTTATCTCTCCCAATAAATTGTATTTCATATATCTTAAGTTATTTCTGAACTTCCCTAAACATTCTTTGTATCCAAGCCTTCATATCCATATCATATCCGGGTAAAAACTTTACATCTAAAAGCATCTTTCTATTTATTTCTTCAGGAGACGTGAATGATTAAATATGGAGAGCAGCCAATGTAAAGTGAATGAATTACTTTAAACAAAGTAACAGTGAAAGGCTATTATAAAAACTGTTTGGTGAGCTATCCTTACTTGAAATTGAGTATCAAGGCAAATTATCTTTAGACCTGGTAAATGGAAATACACAGCAAATGATCCCAAAGTTGAATTTGGACTAAACCTTGGCAGTAATGGGCATGGCAGTTTTGTCTAAAGTGGGGATCTTAAACATTTTAAATGCCAGGGGCTAAATAATGAATTGATTATATTTGGCATACTTAGCATGTATATAAATATGTTTTTATATACATTAGAGAATTTGACTTTTATTAAGATGATCAAGCTGGAACTTGTACCCAAAAATTGTCTTTAATAGCATATAATTTTAGTACTACTTATCCTTAAACAGTTTACAGCTTAAGTTGGCCAAGAAAATGATAAGTTGTATATCTTAATTATCATTCATTGTTTATAATTTAAGTAAACTTATTCTTAATAGTTTATAAATTAGTTGTGCTATAAACTTAGAACTTTAAGTTTTATCCATGTTAGGTTTAGGCTTGAAAACAATAAACCTGTACTGATGTTATTTTAATATAGGGACAAGAGCTCTTATTCAGAATTATTGTATGTAAGGAGAGTGACAATTGGATAAATCCTTTATGGTGTATCATAAAATAAGATAAGCACAGTAAAAAAAAAATAAAAGGGACAAGTTTTGTTTTTGTTTTGTCGTTTTATCTGTAGCAGCCAATTTCTCTAGTTTGTAATCAAGTCAGGTAACTGCTAGGCAGGGCAAGGTGAGGGAAGGGATTGAGATGCAGGCTGAATTTACCTGAGACACAGTTATCAGAAATGCAAGGAGATTAATTACAGGCAGGCAGTTAGGTTCAGAGACAAAAGAAGGAAGATATTCAGGAAGGATTTATTTAGTAGGATTTCTCAGTCTCAAGAAGTCTCTGGGGTCCTGAAAACGCATAGGATTTCCAGATCCTGGAAGAGTGTCCCATTTCTGCAAGTCTGGTTTGAATGATTTAAATGGAAGTTCTTAGATTTGGCCAAGATTTTTGTAAATAACCCAGAACCTCATAGGAACAGGCAACCCAGGAAGAGAAAAAGAAAAACAGACACTTTTCTAATACAGTGACAGGAGAGCTGAAGAATTAGTTTATGAATGCTGGGAAGTTGCCATAATTTTAAAACTGGCTCAAGCAGGGCTGTGAGGCTTGTATTGTTATTAAACAAAGGCTGCTGGATGGAGTTCCTACCTAACTGCAGAGCAGGTTAAAAATTTTACTGCTCAAGTTATCCTTTTAGATTCCAGTGAGATATAGTAAAAAAAAAAAGGCTGTTTGTAGCAGGAGGCTGCCACTTCAGAGGACTTAGTAGACTTCATTAGCTGTAGTTTACACTCTCAGGATGTCATGTAATGTGATAATATTGTGTTATTTCTTTGTAAGGCCCTGAATGAAATAACAGCATATTTCTCCTTAGAAGGGAAAAGTTAGAATCTTTGCCACTTATCATAGTCTGCCAGTGAAACCATCCCACTAGATCTGAGGCCCTTAGGGGTCCTTTAAATTTTTCTTTACTTTTTTCTGGGAGCCTTTTGTGACTAAGATAGTCTGTTGCTTCTTTACCTAAGCTTGTAAAGTGACTGGAGCTGGCTGAAATGCCTCTTATCTCAAGACTGTGTCCTGTAAGTTCTATCAGAAGCTCCTTCTCTTTAGACTTGTTCTGATTGATGGGTTGAAAAATATTCTTAGGGGGTTGGGGCAAGGTATTATTTAAACAAATCAACACTCAAGGAGGTACCATATCCTTGGGGTCTGCAGCACCCTTTGGTTAGGTCCACTTGGTTGCTGAAGACCTTGGAAATCATCTTTATGATTCTCTGGGAAAATGACTATCCTCTGAACAACCTCCTCTAAGTGACTCCTCTCTCATTGGATGTACTTGGGTAATTACTCTTCCGATTAGTATGGTTATCATGCCAAGCACCAGGTAATGAAAGCTATTGGGGTCCAGCCCCTGAATTGCATTTACCCAGAGTTTTAGAACAGATGCTACTGCTGGTGGATTAATCTGAGAGATTCTCTGATAAATCTATGTACACAGAGCTCTTTAGTCTATACATTTTATACTTCTGAGTCAGCTCTCTCTCTCTCCATGCCTTCCATTTGTTCTCTTACTTAGCTCCTTTCTTGCCTAATACTCTCTACTTCGTTCTGCTGTTCTCTCTAAGACTATTAGTTCTGCCCCATCTTGGTCTTTCTCATCTCGTTCTTATCCATCTAGTTCTTCCCCATCTGACTTCCTCATCTTCTGTCTCATGGGACAAGAAGAAAAGTGGCTTCAAGAGGTAAGTATATATCACTAAGTGCCTACATAAAAATATTGGAGAGATCTCCCACTAACAACAATACAGCACACCTGGAAGCTCTAGAACAATAACAAAATGAAACAATG